TATATCGTTATTACTATAGTATAAAAGGTTATCATAGATAACTCATCCTACATTAATCCATATCATACATTGATATATATATGGTTTAGTTAAACTGTGCTGGTTGTATATCGTTATTACTATAGTACTATAAAAGGTTATCATAGATAAATCATCCTACATTAATCCATATCATACATTGATATACATATGATATAGTTAAACTGTGCTGGTTATATATCGTTATTACTATGCTATAAAAGGTTATCATAGATAACTCATTCTACATTAATCCTTATCATACCTTAATATACATATGATTTACGTAGTTAAGCTGTGCTGGTTATATATCCCTTTGCTTGTCCTTTTAAATATTGTACGAACGAGATTCCTGGCTTCACACTTCCTAATTAATGTTCGTTCAAAATACTAGATATAGCCAATGTAGAGAGTTTCCCTGATGAAAAATAATTGTTGTATTCGTTTTTGTGTCGCTTTTAAATCGCACATCTCCATTATGGGAATTCTTTGTAATATTTCACTATCCCTACTGTAAATTAAGATCGGCGAAGATGGAATATTTGCAGATGAACAATTTCTTTGTAGAATGATTCTGGTTGTCAAAAGAAGACCATGTCTTTGGCCGGAACCATATGTTAAAATCTTCGGAGACGAAGAGAAAAACTACCTCTCTCCCGCAAATTCCTGGTACCATATGAATACCGCTATTATAAGCTGTGAAAGCTTGATCCCAACTGTCCACGTTTAGAGTAATTTTTGGACCTGATGACAACTTTTGGGTTTCCAGGTTAAGGGAATAGATCTGGTTTGTATCACATAAAACAATGGCGTCCGTCGTTAAGCTCAATATTTCCTGTACATAATTATTGGGAGAGTGCACATCACAGGAGACGTTGCAACGAATCGAACCATCAGAAGTATTAAGAACCGTGATGGCATTGCTATATTCAAAGGCAAAAAGGCGTCCGTCTTTAGAAAAATGCATAATCTGACGGCCAAAAAAAACCCGATTTGTTTCCACGCAATCACACTGTTGCTCCTCTTTTATGGGGTAGAGGCAAATCTTTGTAAGTTTATTTGATTTATCAATATTGCACAAGAAAAGCTTCCTTCTATGGGGGACGTGCGGTCCACTGCCTGTGAATTCCATCATGTCTTCAAATAAGGTGCCTTCTTCGTTTGAAAAGAGGTTTTCAACACCGGTCGAGGGCACGTGAGATGCTATCTCTTCTCGAAGCAAAGCAATGTGACCAAGGTTGCTAACAGCTTCAACTTCATCGAACTGATCTATATCGACTGGCTCTTGGATTATACTACCAGTTTCTCCATCCATGACATAGATTTTATTATTAAAGCATCTTATCAAGATGTACCAAGGCTGACTGCCATACACGTGACATGACCTGACCACATTAGGTGACTTGTGACTGGTATGCATCTTTAGATTGGCAGCATCTATGATCTCAATGTTTTCTTTGGTTAACACTGGAATTGCAACGATGAGTCGATAGTCAGGAGACATGAACATCTTTTTACGACCGATGAATGTGTTTTCCATGATAGGTTTCCCATCCAGTTGATATTTTTGGATCAATGTGCACTTACCCTGTCGTGTGCTTGTTTCCTTGGGATATTGCACAAGGAAAAATGCTTTGTCACATGGCAGTATCTCCATTGGTAATGAAGGAATAACAACCACATGCTGTGGTAAGGAAAGACGTGCGGGTGGGGAAAAACATTTTGTATCGTAGTCGTACGGTGCCTTCATTATGATCTCTCTTTCATAGTACGGTAATCCGTATTCCTTGAGCAGCTCAATTGGTTTAGGTGTAAGTTGTATCCTATTACTGATGTAATAGTAGTGCAGGTGTAGGAATTGAAGAACGGGTTGCAGCTCGTCCTTAAGTGTTCTGGCGCCGAACCGACAGTTGTTCTCGTGCACCTCACCATGGTAAAGAGATCTTAAACTTTGAAAAATGTCTTTCATGTGCATGACGGTATGCCCATTGGACCGAAACACTGAGTTGCCGCTATCTTGGGACACAAAATCCTGGATCATCCTGGAACTTCCTGTATTATCTATATCGTAAGGATCGCATACGCTACATTTCAAATGATGTTTTCTATACCATATACCATATAAACAGAACACAAAACAATCGGTTTGTGTTTCAACTCTTTTTGCGTCGTCAAAGCTTGGGCTCCCCATATAGTCTTCTCCAAAGTGTATGGCATAGAACTCACGGTTGAGAATGGGTGGATTGTCTTTCTCAAGATGAATATTGAATCTTTTTTTGATATCTTTCAAGACTTCATAACATTTGTTGGCAATTACATTCTTTGTGTTCTTTACTTTGAAAATATGTTCTCCAGTTGTTAACCAGTCGATAACAGTCTTATGAAATGCTGAAACGTGATCATTTTCTACTGGAAAAACTTGATGGAGGAGATTGATGGCATCCTCTCTTTTGATGTTTGGGACTCTTGGTTCGTCAACAAGGCCAAGAATTTCATAGAAAATGTCCTTCTCAATGGGAAATTTAGCTTCCACTATGGCATGAAGCATTCTAAAGAATCCTTCTTCGCTTTCTATATATGGCAAAATTGCTTCCTTGAGTCGATCGAAGTAGTCTTCGTATACCGATGTAATCGCATGACCTTTTAAAAAGTGCTTAACTGCTTCAGATAACGAAGCGTAGCTTTTCTCTGCCAAGAAATCGATAAGAAAAAAAGCCACCAAAAATATACCTTCTGTCGTATCAACAAGATGCTTGATATGGTGGGAAGTCACTGTAAAAGAATCTTGCTTCAGATCTTTCAGCTTGTCCTCGATGAAACCTTTAAGATCTTTTTTATTGTTGGCATCTTCTGGTTTGATGTAGATGTGAGAATTTGTCCGAAAAGACGAAATACTAGGAGGTGGTCTTGTCGTAATGACAAAYCTTAKCCATGATGGTAAAYGTGGTATTCCCTCGACCAACGCCTTACACAATTCATTCTTCATGTTATTGCATTCGTCAAGGGCATCAATCACAACAACTACAGTATCCTCTGAATTAAYCTTGGAACAGGGCTCTTCTAAAAGCAAAGTAAACAGTTCTCTGCATCCCAGCTGGGGGATTTTGTCTGCAGTTGGTTGGATGTTTCTTTCTAAAGCATCTTCATAACCAGGGACTGACACACAAAGCTGCCTTGCAATGGACTGCAGCATTTTGCTTGGATCATTTYGTAATGCATTGTTGTGCTTAAAAAAATGACATGCTCCTTTGACGATTCGTTGACCTTCTGATTTKTTGTACATGTCACATATTTTTGCAGCCACAACAGATTTACCCATTCCTGGTCCYGCTTCAATAACTACCATTATAGATTKAGAGCTCTCTCTTTCGAGGTAAGACCTGACTTCCTCAAAGACCCACTCTCGTGTATTAGGATGATAAGACCCCACTAATTTTTTAACTACACTACTAGAGTAAGAGGAGGCTAACTTATTAATTGGACTATCTCTCCTATCTTTAATCTCCATCTTATTTATAATTTCTTCAACGGTGCATTTCGTCGCAGCTGTGTCGGATTTGATTGATTGTAGTTGAGATTTGATGTCTTCATCTGCCTGGGCCCATTCTTTTAGTAGTCGATTGTAATCTTCTTCTTCTAGAGGATCCGACTTAAGTTTATCAATGTCGTCTTTCTTGAGTCCAAGCGACACTAGAGCATTTGAAGTCTCATCCCAGTATTTTGTAAATTGAGTTTTCTCGATATCTGCACTCGAGCTGTGAGCAATGGCCTTGTTCCTGTAGAGCTTTATCCTGACGAGGTTTGCTCCAAGACTATTATCTGTTGGATTCGGTGGTTTATCCCATCCTGTAGATGNTGGACATTGAACATCAAAAACTGACCTTAAAGCTTTTGTTCCTCCATCATAAAGAAGCCTGCACAGTTTGGTAAATTTGATTTTCTCTGTCGTTTCAGTGGTCCAGGCTGCTGTACTTGTCATGCTTGGTATATTTCCTTGTTGTTTACTCTGATACGAACACAAATCAGGTTAATACAAAGTTGAAGAAAAATAGGATTATTAAAACATTATATATTTGACAGTTCAAGACGTGGATATGGAAGTAGATGTATAGTGTCACATGATTGACATATAGCATGTAACATGGCCAGAAGTTTCGGAAACCCAATACACGAATTTCACAATGGCCGACACTAATTAGCATATTATTGTTAAATTCACCCAAAAATGGCGCCACTGATGCATAGGGAAAAATGCTTCTGAATTACAGCTGAGTTGTTATGCCTTAATTAGTTTGGTAGTGTCCAAATCGAAAACTGCCGCTGCTTTGACCTCTAAGAACAATAATATTTTTCCTGCATTTTTCAGTCTCATTATTTCTTTTACTCTTTATCATTTATTCTTATTTCAAGCACTGTCACTTATTTATTTTGAATAGTGCACAATAAACTTGTTAAGGTTTTGATTCTGATTCTGAATTATTCTTGTAGACATGTTAGACTTCGTTAGCTTTTTTACTCTAAAAAACCATTTCTATGATGGAGAGCTTATCGATAAGTCCGGTATATTGTTCTAATTTGAAGCACTTTTGCCAACATTTTGGGTTCAATAACCTGATGGTTTTTAATCATAGTCACGAAAAAAAACATACTTTTTAATCGTATCTGTTTGTTGTGTTCACTAAGTGCTGGTATCACTGTCCAGACAGGACAGGACAGTTGATGATGATGACACTTACAAAATGAGCCGGCAAATCCTTAGTTTTAACATGATGTACCTTTGTAGTATTGTATATTTTTAAGTTTCTGATTTAATAAACAGAAGAACCTAATTGATGTACCATAGAAATATCTCTTATAGCTTAGTCCTGCGTTAAACGCCGAACTTACATGCAAGGCATAGGTCAAACGCCAAACCGTACCAACTATGATTGTTTAACGTGCGAAAGTCATTTCCTATTACCTTAAATCGTATAGCTGAAACCTAGTGTTTTTGAAACCACATAGTTTTTACTTTAAACTACCATTTGCATTTTTTCATTTGCTTTTTGCTTTTTTAAATCTCTTGAAAGATTGGTCATAAAAAGAAATTAGCCGATAACAAAACGAGCAGGGGCCTGGGACTGAAAGTTTTAAAAGTGCTACAATCTTACAGAAATCTGTTGTTGATAGATAAAGCACATATAAATTAGCTAAACTTTAAAGTTTGAGCAAGTTTAAGTCATTAGAATTGGGAATATAATTTTTNCGCCATACACAATTCATTCTTCATGTTATTGCATTCGTCAAGGGCATCAATCACAACAACTACAGTATCCTTTGGATTAACCTTGGAACAGGGCTCTTCTAAAAGCAAAGTAAACAGTTCTCTGCATCCCAGCTGAGGGATTTTGTCTGCAGTTGGTTGGATGCTTCTTTCTAAAGCATCGCGATAACCAGGGACCGACTCACAAAGCTGCCTTGCAATGGACTGCAGCATTTTCCTTGGATCATTTTGTAATGCATTGTTGTGCTTAAAAAAATGACATGCTCCTTTGACGATTCGTTGACCTTCTGATTTTTTGTACATGTCACATATTTTTGCAGCCACAACAGATTTACCCATTCCTGGTCCTGCTTCAATAACTACCATTATAGATTGAGAGCTCTCTCTTTCGAGGTAAGACCTGACTTCCTCAAAGACCCACTCTCGTGTATTAGGATGATAAGACCCCACTAATTTTTTAACTACACTACTGAAGTCAGAGAAGACTAGCTTATTAATTGGACTACCTCTCCTAACTTTTATCTCTTTCTCATTGCTAATTTCTTCAAGAGTGCGTTTTATCGCAGCTGTGTCGGACTTGATTGATTCCAGTTGAGATTTGATGTCTTCATCTGCCTGGGCCCATTCTTTTAGTAGTCGATTGTAATCTTCTTCTTCTAGAGGATCCGACTTAAGTTTATCAATGTCGTCTTTCTTGAGTCCAAGCGACACTAGAGCATTTGAAGTCTCATCCCAGTATTTTGTAAATTGAGTTTTCTCGATATCTGCACTCGAGCTGTGAGCAATGGCCTTGTTCCTGTAGAGCTTTATCCTGACGAGGTTTGCTCCAAGACTATTATCTGTTGGATTCGGTGGTTTATCCCATCCTGTAGATGGTGCAGCGAGTCCAGGACAAATATTCCTCAGAAGAACAAACAGCAAAGTGATGTCAAAGTCTTCCGATTTAGGACTTGCACCACTTGTAGAAGGATAGAGTTTATCCCACTGATCATCATTGAGTACTTTTCCCATTGGCTTCTTGAGTGCCAGTAATTTGGATTTATTAGAATTGAGTGATGCTACCAAAGATGGAGGTGGACATTGATCATCAAAAACTGACCTTAAAGCTTGTGTTCCTCCATCATAAAGAAGCCTGCACAGTTTGGTAAAGTTGATTTTCTCTGTCGTTTCAGTGTACCAGGGTGTTGTACTTGTCATGCTTGGTATATTTCGTTGTTGTTTACTCTGATACGAACACAAATCAGSTTAATACAAATGTTAAAGAAAAGTAGGATTGTCAACATTAAATGTTACAGTTTATGTCAAGGATGGAAAGGGTTTGTTTAAAAGCATAACAAGTTTTGTACCTTGAAATATAGGAGCACTAACTTCTTTTTTAGTTCAAAGTTTGGGGTTGTGAATTTCTTGTGCCAGTAATACCAGTTGAGACAATGTGTTGAGTTAGAGACGGTGTAAACAACTCTACACTAATGTTTCTTTAGACCGGTTTATGCAAATGAATTAGCGACGTGAATAGTCAGAACTCCTGCTGACATTGTTGAGCGTCTGATATTTGGAATACACGGACGGTCCAAACGACGCACGTCGAACTAGATTTACTAAAATATTTGAACTTAGAAGCATTTACTTGTAATGTCTTCAATCTTGTTCAATGAACAAACCCAAAATGTTTCTCGACAAAATCCAGTCCAACTCTAAACTTCTGCAAACAAGTGAACTGAAACGCCAGCTGAAACTTTTTCTTTATAGCCGTTTATAGAACTGGAAAAGTTGAAACTTACTTGGTTGGTGCTTAATTTCGATGGGTTTCCACCCTTAGTAGGGACCGTGCAAGTTTGAAGGCTGTAATTATCTACATACTGGCTTGTCTTTGCGATTGTCAAGGCTCGCTCAAAACTCAAGCAGTTCGCCTCCGACGACAAAGAAGGGTGGGTTTCGAGATCATTAGCATTTTCAGGTGGTTTGGATGCACAGGAATCCCAACATGGCATCTTGGCTAATTTCAAACTTTACCTGTTCATCGATACAATCGATAATGCTGCAGTAAAAATAGCTGTTTGTGTAAAGACTTCAAAGGTTGTAAATTTTATGTAGATACGATGTAAGTGTCCAAAATGCCATGTAAATTTGAAGATTATAACCTGTGTGCGCCATGGCCATACATCCCGGGGTTTTTGGATAGGTACGTGCCGCCAGCGGTCTAAATCCCTGACCCTGTTTAAGGCACTAGAAAGTGAAAATCCATACCCTGTTCAAGACAAATCAGAAAAATAAGGAATAGCTATCTACGCCGCAATCAAAACTGCAATTATACTGACATCCATCAAAGGCAATAGGACATTTTTGATAACACGTTAATCCTGGGACAGTGAAACAGTATTTCTACTATTTTTGCGGCATTTCTTTTAAAAATATTACCCTGTTCAAGATACAAAAAACTGAGACAAAAAAATATTATTTCGGTCTTTTATCGAAATTGTAGAGCCTGTTTAAGACAATTTCGGGCGAAACTGTATACCCTGTTTAAGACAGCAAGTCCAAAACCATACACTGGCTAGCGGCACGTTCCCGTATAGCAAATGTATGGGAGTACCCTTCCCCCCCTCCCCCCACCCGGGCCATACATGTGCGACGTTTTGAAACGAGGATCTTCACGATACCCTGTTCATCATAAAATGAGATAGAAACCGTTTAATACGTGAGGTACGCTATCAAAGGCTGCAGTTACAGATGTTTTGATTTAACTAGCAACTTCCTAAAGACGCTCAGATAATATTGTAGTACAGCATAGTTTATTGATAGAGTGACATCATTTAAACTATAGACCAACAAACAAAAACCGGATGGGGGTGACATACAAATACAAAAAACCTGCACAAAAAAATATCCGGAAATAAAATCCCAAAAGCAACGAGCACCTGGAAAAGAGATAACCCTGAAAAAAATATCCTACCGCCAAGATGTATTATCTAATATCTATTTCACGACATTACGGTCATTGTGCGGACTTTGAAAGACCCATTAGGAGAGTGAATCAATCATATATTTTAATTCTATTTTGAGTTCTCTCTTCGTTTTTGAATTTCCTAGCATTTGAACAAAAAAAAACCCGCAGTCTAGACAATGTACGGATTATCATATCATTAGCTTGAACATTTTGATTAGATGTCAACGATATTCATGTGAATATTGTCATATCAAGCCCCGTTCAGCCGACGAGGCAATGTAGAATAGTATGAACTGATTGCAGTCTCTGTAACCAGGGTGTCTTTTACGAAAATGTTCAAGATCTGATATTATCACATGGCATTTTAGGTGGGTTCATTATTAATGAACTTGGATAAGACCTTAAAACAAGTCGTGTATGTGATTTGTAGCCAATGAGGCTTTAMTGAGTCAGCTATGAGCCATATTCACTGGGAAAGCTTATTGTAGTTTAAGAGTTTGTAATATATTGTGAATATACTGCAAATTCAATTTACAGTCAAAATGTTCTTTTACAAGGTTTTTAAATTTTAAATGTACACTCTGTAGATATCTTGTCAATTTTCCTCGATTAAACATTGTAAATATATATCTTGTAAAATCAATTTACAAAGTCTTTAAAAGGACAATTTGTCTGAAAATTGACTTATTACCGTGTCCAGGCCTCTATGGCCGACACGGTCATAAAATGCAAGGACATTTTTTCCACGAGTTTTACCCGAGTGCCCGACGATTTCCCCACGACTTTACATCGATTGGAACAAATTTACTACCACTGATAAAACCACATGATGGTATGATGGTGGCCGTTCGAGGAGATTACTAAACATTTTTGCTATTTGGGGCATGAAAATTTCCCGAAACTTTACGAGAGGTTTTTGGATTCTGGATATTTTGAGAGACTTACTTTTGAGGGAACTCTTACCAATCTTCTAAATCTTCTATATATTAACAACGAACCGATTTTGAGCAATCAAGTTTTTGTTCCAAGCTTTATTTTTGTCTTGAGAGAGATATACGTTATATAGTTTAAACGTGCTTTAATATACATATGGTATAATTAAACTGTCTTGGTTATATATGGTTTTTACTAGTGCTAAGGTTATCAGAGATAACCCAACCTACATTAATCCATATCATACGTTGATATACGCATATGATATAGTTAAACTGTGCTGGTTAACTCATCCTACA